GTGACTCTGGGCAGCTCACAATGAAAGTAAAACTCACAAACAGTTAAAAATAAATACCCCCATTAATTAAAATTAATTAATTAGTTAAAAAGTCAAACTACAAAAACAAGCCCTGTACATAAAAAACTAAAAACATTCATGATGATGAGGGAGTAAAATCAATTATTTCACAAACCATTTCCACTGGTGCAAGCCCCCATCTGGCCCCAGGCCATCTGGCATAGCCAAGATTTCACGTTCCTCCTGAAGCCCATGAGAGTAGGGGCACACCGCACCCCTGGTGGTAGGTTGTTCCACAGAGCGGGGGCCATGGCAGAAAAGACCCTCTTCCTAGATCCCACCAGTCAAAATTCCTTGACTGGTGGAGTCTGCAATATGCCCCTTCTGCCGGACCGAGTGGGCGGGCTGATAAAACAGGGGCACGACAGCTCCTCAGATAACCTGGTCCTGTGCCATGCAGGGCTTTAAAGGTAATAACCAATACCTTGAATTGGACCCGGAAGCAAACCGGCAACCAATGCAGCTCGGGTACAGTGGTGTTATATGGGCCCCCTGGGGGCATTCAGAACTGTCTACACTGCTGCATTCTGCGCCAGCTGTAGCTTCCGGATAGGTTGGTTGTCTTGACTCTGCTGTCATTTAACCAGGCCTTGAAGACTTGGCTCTTTCCCCAGGCTCTTCTTCTACATTAGGAACTATGTGCTTTGGTGGGAATTTTATTAATCCAGTGAGTATATTAGTCCCCAGGTTATCGCCTGTTGCTGTTTTTATTGTACTGGATGTTATTTTTAACTTGTATGCCACTCAGAGTTATGAGTTGGGCAGGCTATAAATTTAATTTATACATAATAGAAAAAATATCATATGCAATTTATGGTGGCATATTTCAGTAATTAATTTCTGTCAATTGTCCACTGAAATCTTATAGTTAAGAAAACCCTGTATATGTTCTGTAAAAACCAATAGGCAGCTGGATCCAGACATTTCATAGACGGTTTTTCTAACTAAGTCATCCCAGAGTCTTAACTGCAATTCTATCATTTTATTCTTGAAATGACTTCGGTATTTGAGCTGAATACAGGTAATGACTATTGCTGGGGCTTTGGCTGAATAAGTAGCTGATGTACACTTGGTGTTCCAGAGTTATTTGTTGATTATAAAATATGTCAAAAACTGTGTGTTTGTAGTTAAGAAACTTAGTCCATAAGCTTACAAACTTTTCTCCTGACTCTTCAGAAGGACAACAAGAGTATAGGATGGTGCCGGTTGCTTAGTGAATTCTTGCCTACCATCCGGGATGTACAGAGTATCTATAAAAAGGTTGTTCAATCCCAGTATAAACTGTGGACAAGTGATGGCCTCAAGCCATCAGTGTCATATACTAGGAGGACAGCAAAAGTTTCTACTTGCCACCTTCTTCTAGTAGATGTGGAGAAGAAAGAACATTTATACCCACACCCTGTCAGAGCTCCTAAGGACACCTTACTAGAGGTCTTTTATAATTTGAAGTAGAGTGAGGAATATCCCTAATGCTATAGGTCTTCATATGTTGTATATGGATGTCCTTCTGTGTATTTTTTTTTTTTTAACATGGTGCCAAGGTGGATGTCAACTGTTTATGGGCCAGTAGGTTGATGAACTATGGGCATATGGCAAAAGGTTTGTGAAGGAGTGTTGAGAGCTGAACATTGTTGTTTTGATTGTGGAACCTTCCAGAGAATTCCTGACCTGGATGTTCAGGACCGGATGTAGAGAATCACACTTCAATCAGGCTGGTGAGATACTGGCCTCCTGTTGGGCCGTTGGGTGATGGGAGAGCAAGGGACTGCTGGTAATTATCCTTCACAGATGGCAGATGGTACAGGAACCCTTTAGAATACAGGTAGATACAGTTGATTGGAGTTGGGGCCAGCAGCATGGCACAGTGAGAAAGATGAAGAAGAAGGTGTTGGAGGGCCCTGGCAAATTGTCTGTTCTGCTGGAGATGGCTGCAAGAGTTGGCAGCAGCAGATTCTTTCTGATGATAGGGGCTGGTGGCAGTGCGAGCAGAAACTGAAAGGTCAGTGATGGGATCAACCAGCCTGGACCCTGTGGCTGCTATATAGCTTCTGTTTTGATATGACAGCCATCTTATCTTTGCCACGTAGAAGCTGGGTTGAAGGAGATATGGCAGGCGGCATAAGGTGGGCCTCACTCAGGGAATGTGGTTCTGGTATCTTGACCCATTGCTGTGTTCAGCCCTCTGTGCTCCACCCCAGTTCTCAATCATTGAACCTTCAGGGGCCCAGGCTTTTGGATGCTGCTACTAAATGCCAGGTCAGTTCATAATAAAGCTTCCCTCACCTGTGATAAGGATGAGACGGCTGATCTAGCATGTATTATTGAAACTTGGCTGAGCACAGAGGGAGAGATTGCCCTCTTGGAAACCTGCCTGCCTGAGTTTTGGGTGTAACATCAACCAAGGCCAGAGGGCAGAGTTGGGGAGTAGCTTTGTTAATCTAGGACATTCTGGTGACATTTAGAAGTGCTACTCTAAAGGTGACTAGACAGGAGACTTTGGGCTTTAGGGATCACGTGGGATTACTAGCCTACCAAACTCGCCTGCTGTGAAGCAACCCCCTACCTGAGCTCCTTGACTCCATGGCCAGATTGGAGTTCCCCAGTCTTGGGAGACTTTAACCTGCCTTCTTTGGGGGGTGGAATCAGAGGTAACTTGAGAGTTTATGGCCACCGTGACAACCATGGATCTGACCCAGATCATCAAGGGCCTGACACATAATGGTGGTCACACTTTAGATAAACCTTTAATAATAATTAAATTTTTGAGGTTGTTGGACTCCTTAACAATTGGGTGGCTTGCAATTACAAACAACATAAATAGAAAAAAATCACACTGACTAGAAGACTAAACACTACCAGCAAAAACCATAAAGACTGCAACAACCCTATCCCAAGGTCTGGAGAACAAACAACTTTTCAATGATTTTCTGAACCTTGTTATGGTGGGTTGTGTGATCTGGGATTGGAGGAGATTATCATTATTCCCCTGTCACGGGCAGATCATTTTCTGATTTCCTTGGAGTGTGCTGGGGGAACATGTTAGGAAAAAGGGAAGGGGAGAATGGATATTCATTTACAGAGCTGCTGTGACGAATACTCTAGACATCTGGCAGATTAAGCCTCTCAGATTCACTCCAAGTTGGACTTTAATCTTCATTCAGGTCCTATGGAGTTAACTGAAGCTGAATCTGGCTTGGTTATCTAGGAGGAGTTTGACCCTGCTAGTCTCAAGGAAGTGGACAAGGTTCTTGAAGCTGTGAGCTCAGCTACATTTATTTCTCCTGGTTAGCTAAGGTTTCCTGGGAGATAACATGTAAGTGGTTGCAAATGCATCCTTGAGAGAGGCGAAGTTCCTGCTGACAAGTAAGGAGAGAGTGGTCCGTCCACTCCTCAAGAAACCACTCCTAGACCATTTTGGACAATTTTTGTCCCATCATTGACTTCCATTTTTAGGGAAGGTTGCTTAGAAAGTGGTCATGCTGCATCAGAGGAGGAAGCAAATTAACTGGACCTCTGTCAGTCAGATTTCAGGCCTGATCGTGGGACTAAGACAGCATAGATTACACTGTTGGATGAGCTCTGGAGGGAGCAGGATGGGTCTTTTGATACCATTGATTATGGTATCTTTTTGGACTGGCTCCAGGGATTAGGAGTTGGGGACACAATCTTGTGCTAGTTTTTCTCCTTTAGGGTCAATCAGTGCTGGTGGTGAGAGGAGAGGTCCGGCCCATTTCCCTTTTTGTATGGTGTTCCTCAGTGCTTGATGCTGTCCCCGCTCCTATTTAACATTTACATGAAGCTGCTTGGTGAGATCATCATGAAGTGAGGTATCATTAGTATGCTGATGATACTCAGCTATACATCTCCACCTAAGGCTAACCAAGGGGTGCTATGGAGATACTATCTTGGTGTTTGGAGGCTGTGGGGCTCTGGAAGGGGAAGAATGGTTCCAGCTCAATGCTAGCAAAACTGAGTGGTTGTGGGTGCTAGGACATCCTTATGCCAGTGATTTGCCATCCTTCTAGATGGGCTTGTACTACCCCAGACAGAATCATTGTGCTACTTGGGGGTCCTTCTGGAGTCATGGCTCCTGTTTGAGGAACAGGTGGCAACTGTGGCCAGGAAAGCTTTTGCATAGCTTTGTGTTGTGTGTGCTGGTTGTGCCCTTTCCTGGACCAGGAGTCACTGTGCATGGTCACTTATGTTGTGGTTATCTTCCATGTAGGCTACTGAAATGGGTTCTACATTGGGATGACTTGAAAGACATCTGCAAGCTACAATTGGTGCAGAATGTGGTAGTGTGAACAGTTCTGGCTATATCTGATATGCCTGTGTTACCTTTGCTACTCAAGCTGCGCTGGCTCCCAATAGGCTTCCAAGTACAAACTAAGGTGCTGGTTGTCACCTATAAAGCCCTTCATGGCATGGGGCCTGGTTATTTGAGGGACCACCTTTCTCCCATTTTCTCTATCCATCTCATCAGATCCAAGAGGAGGAACACACTCTGGGTCTCATTGAAAGCCATCTTGCAGGTCTCAGGAAGCATGTCTTTTCTGTTGCAGTGCCTGCCCTCTGAAACACCATACCAGCCAACATTAGGTTAGCCCCAACCTTGTTAGCCTTTCAGAAAGCTCTCAAAACTTGGCTATTTTCCCAGGTATGGGGTTGATTGCTGATTTCCTTGGTTTTTAAATTTTGTTAGCCACCCAGAGTCATTTGCAAGATGGGTGGCAATATAAATTGATTAAATAGATGAAGTTTGTTGAAATGTGAGTACATTCAGTTTTGAGCAATCATCACCAAGTTATGAGAAATGAGACTATAGCAGGGGTTAATTTAAAACTGCCACCTAGTTTCAAGCAAAGTAGCATCAACTGTTGTTATATCTTACTTTTAAATCAAAAACATATGGTCTCAATCACTTTTATATATTTCCACAGGGAGGCAAATAAGCAACATGTAAGGTGTCAGAAATGTTTGGAATTTGGACACTGGACATATGAATGTACAGGGAAAAGAAAATATCTGCATAGACCATCAAGGACAGCAGAATTTAAAAAAGCACTTAAAGAAAAAGAGAACCAGCTACTACAACAAAGGTACGAATTACTATATAAAAGATTACATGTCATTTATAGAAAAGTATATGTGGAAAAAGGAGAACAGAGTAAAAAGCTCCTAACAGGTTCTGCACATATGTAACTGGTCACTAGGGAGGAACACATTAGAATGTCATGCATAACACTGTAACCCAATTAATCCTGAAAACTAGGGAGTGTTCATTTTAGCTTGAGAGAACCCTGAGGTTATCTGGGGTTAAATGAACAGCCTCCTGTCAACGAAAGTATTAACAGTGTTGAGAAGGTTAATAAAGCATTAATTCTCTCTCTGCTTCCAAAACAGAAATGAAATCTTGTCTGGCAAAAATGCTGCTTCTCTAGGTGCTCCATCTCCTTTTTAATTTTTACACATGCATCTGGCAGGGTTTCATGAAGGGGTAGAAAGGTGTTAAAAAATAGTGGAGGTGGGTAAGTTTTCAACTTGTCAAGCCCCGTGAGACAAGCAATTTCAAGAAACAAGAACCACTTGGAATTCTGAAAAGATCTTTATTGCTAGCAGGGTAAACTACAGAATCTTGAAAGCCTGTTATAGTAAAGCAATTTTCCAGACCAACTTATACCTAGTGTAATTAAGGCAAAGTTCTGACCTCTTCAGTGGAACCTTATCAGAAGCAATCTGATATTGAATTGGGGCTGTCTCAATACAGTTGGTACATTGTTGGGATACTTACTGTGATTTTGGAGCAGTCCATTTGAAACTTGAACCATCCAGTTCAGAAAGTCCTATGATGAGGATAAAGAATTGGTGCCTCTTCAGGACTAAGACTCATGTGAATCAGGGGAATTACAGAGAAGGACTGGACATGAATTTTTCTCCAGATGTAAAACCACTGGATATGAGAAGCTGCTAGAACCCAAGTGAAAGAGAGGAGAACAGTGGACTTAAATCTGCCCAGTAGGGCATCTTCCTCCAGGCTGTGTCCTTGCTCTTGCAACCTGAATTGTCTCTGCCCTTTAACCCTTGAGGGAGGGGGGAATCTAGGACTCTTCAGAAGCAGTCTTGACACTGAAACACTTGTTCTTATAGTGGTCAAGTTAACGTTCACCATTATTAATATCTTCCACAGTGTAAATAATTTGAAGGAGATGCTAATGATTGCACAACTGTGGGGAGCATTGTACTACATTTTTGGAATGGTTTTGGCACGGTTGCACTTTAAGGTCAGAACAGCCTGTTTTGAAATTGAAATGTTTCAAATTGGAAATGTTTGACACACCTCATAAAGATTAGAATTGTGCAAGGAAAAAGAGAACATTATTTCACTGCTTGTTCTCTTTAATTATGGGGAAATCAGTAAAATAGATAAAAGTTCATAAAGATGTACATATGGACTTAAATTAGAATAAGTCCTAGCAAACCTTTGTCACCTTTATGAATCAGCATGTAAACAATTGCAGTGGGGCCTCTTGTTAACATCTGTCTATCATGATCAACAAAACTGGCAGCAGCTATTTAAGTCAGCAGTAAATACATTCCTCCAGTTCAGTTTTGAACTGTTTCCTTTCTTGGAACTATTGTGTGATCATTTCTTTTCTTCTTTGGCTGTTCTTCTGTTCCTAGTTCTGCTACTAGTTCAGTTCTCCTTTTGTTGCAATCCTTCTTTTTATTTTATTGTGCCTGTTAGTCTTCTCACTCCATTTCTGGTTCTAGCATTGTTTCCCTGCTCATTCCCTCACTATTTACCCTCACAATTAAAATATTTATGTAATTCAAGTTTATGCATTATTAAATAGAAATGGAATGTTCTGTTTCCCTCTGGACTGTGCCAAACTCCAGGGAGGCAGTTTCAACCATGCTGCTCTGGATGGAGATTCAGCATTTCCCAGAATTAAATCCTCTAAACCAGCAGCAGTCCAAGGTGTTCTGGACGCAGCATTCCCGATGAAATAGCCAAACTGTCCCTGGAATGGTATGTCCGGAAAGAGTTCAGCATGGTCCAAAGAGAAATGCAGTGTTCTAGAATTCTCTGAAATGGTCTGTTCCTGGCTCAGTGAACTTTGCACATCCCTCAGAACATTAAAATTATAATTAAATGAAATATTATTCAAAAAATAAATGTGACAATTTTGCTATTGTGATTTTTATTTTTTTTAAATAGGAAGAGACTAATTTTTACAAACACATTTATTTAGATGACATCATAACCTTTTTTCTATACAGTGCACGTTTCTTTATCTTAATAGGACATTTTAGAGTATTTGTAGCATATTCTGCATTCCATTATTTTGTTGTTGCTTGATTTGTTAAGAGATAAGTGCATATGTTTTGACCTGTATGCATGTAGTATGCAAGCAGGTTAAAACTATAATGATGGAAAATAATTAGTTAAGATTAAAGGATAATATTTAAACATGTATGATTTAAAAAAAAAAACTTGTGTACTTGCTTTATAGTATCTGAAGTGTTTATATTATTAAGACACCCTGTTACAATTAAGCATACACTACAACAATTGATATTCCTTTAAGTTGGATTTAGTCAAAAGAAACCAAAATTCACCTAAATATTTTTTTTCATACATGAACAGTATTTATCTGCTTCTTGGTTATGAAATTGTCTAAATGACTTATAAATAGTAACAAAACATATTTAAATAGTTTAAATTAATATGCAGTCCAATTTATTTAGTTTGTTTTTGTTGTTTTATTGATTTATTTTGCTCTCTCTCAAATTTCCATCTTCGCCTTTCTATTTTCTTACTTGTTAAGAAACTGATTTTGGTCTAATGTTAGTCCATGTTTTATGACTGAACTCTTTTCAAAAATAAATATTAATTGAAGTAATCCCTTCCTTCCTCCTGATTCCCCTCCCTCCCAATCTCCTATTGTCAACCAGCTCTGGAGAATGTACTACAGACAGGAAGAGCAAGAAAAAAAGGTATGTAAAGAAATAATTTTAAAAATTAAATAGATTTCATAGCACCAATAGTTTCATAGTATTGTTATCTTTCACTTTCACTCAGACTCATGTGCATCTACTTCCTGTCCTTCCTTAGCCAACAAGAAGAGATTCTTTTTAATATGGTTATTCATTATTTTGATTTATATCCTTCCCTTCTGTTCTTAAAGAACTCAGGGCAGCTAACAGCAATAAAAATGCCAATACAAAAGGCTAATAAAAATGGTTAAAATCAGTCAAAATTAGCTCAAATCGAAAAAGGCTGGCTAAAGAGGAACATGAGAATAACTCTGCTGAATCAGGCCAAAGCCCATGTTTGCCCTGCATTCTGTTTCTCACATTGGCAACTAAATATCTCTGAGGTGTTCAGACGCAGTGGTTGGAGACCTAACCACTCCTGTCATTGTTGTCCTGTAACTGGTATTTGGAGGCATCCTGCCAATCCAAGAGAAACATTGAGTCTTCACGACTAAGCCCTTGAAAGACTACATATTTATTTAATCCCCCTTTAAAGCCATCCAGGTCATCACCACATTTGGTAATGAATTCCACAGGCTAGTTACATGCTGTATGAAAGATTTTTTTTTCATGATTCTAAATTTCCTTCCAGTCATTTCCATTGGATGAAAACCCTGATCTATATTTTTGAAAAGGAAATGTACCTCAAGAATGTCCCCGCCCCCAGTTGTCAGGCTTTATGCCAGGCTCAGCTGCAGTTCTTGGCTCTCCAGACACTTCACCCCTTATTCAGGAATTGGCTTACTTAGTAGAAGGCTCTGAGACACAACTCAGCTTGATTTGTCTTTTTTACAGCAGACAAGCATGAAGCCATATATACCTAGAAGATGTGTCCTTTGCACTATACAGTGGGGCAAAAAAGTATTTAGTCAGCCACCAATTGTGCAAGTTCTCCCACTTAAAAAGATGAGAGTTCTCCCACTTAAAAAGATGAGAGTTCTCCCACTTAAAAAGATGAGAGTTCTCCCACTTAAAAAGATGAGAGTTCTCCCACTTAAAAAGATGAGAGTTCTCCCACTTAAAAAGATGAGAGTTCTCCCACTTAAAAAGATGAGAGTTCTCCCACTTAAAAAGATGAGAGTTCTCCCACTTAAAAAGATGAGAGTTCTCCCACTTAAAAAGATGAGAGTTCTCCCACTTAAAAAGATGAGAGTTCTCCCACTTAAAAAGATGAGAGTTCTCCCACTTAAAAAGATGAGAGTTCTCCCACTTAAAAAGATGAGAGTTCTCCCACTTAAAAAGATGAGAGTTCTCCCACTTAAAAAGATGAGAGTTCTCCCACTTAAAAAGATGAGAGTTCTCCCACTTAAAAAGATGAGAGTTCTCCCACTTAAAAAGATGAGAGTTCTCCCACTTAAAAAGATGAGAGTTCTCCCACTTAAAAAGATGAGAGTTCTCCCACTTAAAAAGATGAGAGAGGCCTGTAATTTTCATCATAGGTATACCTCAACTATGAGAGACAAAATGAGAAAAAAAAATCTCATCTTTTTAAGTGGGAGAACTTGCACAATTGGTGGCTGACTAAATACTTTTTTGCCCCACTGTACACAAATCAAAACCCTTATGTAGTTCTGTGTGTCTTTCCAAATCAGTAAATACCTGGATGGTCTCCTGAAGGCCTTGAAAGGCACCTGATCTATGTTGACATAAAGTGTTCTCTAGCCTGGTTCTATTGGTTTCCACCTCAACAGTTACATTTCTTGTGTTACTTTTTTTTAAGCTAAATGTCCCTGATGTCTCATGGCTGTATTAGTGATTGCTATATTTTTCTCAGCTGCTATGTATTTTGACTTTTGTAGTTGTGATTGTACTTGTTTTAATTTTATTTTAAATATTTTTCACTGCCGAGAGTCATTTGTTGCGATGGGCAGCTATATAAATTGACTGAGTGACTGACTTAATAAATAAAATGTGAAAAGGAAAGTCTTTTGAGTCCTTAAAATATTTCGGTTTCATCTTCTGTAGTTTTCCATCTCTATGGTATTTTTCCCCCCAAATGTGACTGGCATATTGTTTACAGTATTACAGATATGGATATACTATAGATTTTTATAGGGGCATTACAATGTTGGCAGTTTTATTTTCAGTCCCTTTCCTAATGATGCCTAGCATGGATTTCCGCCTTTTTCAAAGCTCCTGCCCAATGAGTCAATACCTTCACTGGGCTATCACTGTGACCCCAAGAGCCTAAAATCTTTCCTGGGTACATAAAGCAGAAAGAGCAGAAACCAAATGTGATTCATTGACATAGTAGGAAATCATGTTCTAGTAATGTCTATATTATTGCATAGGCTGATATCTAGGCTCAGATCTATGGCTGGAGAATTATTACTTAAATCCAGCTAAATGTTCTAATTAGAAAAACAAAGCCTTGTTCCAATTTTTGTTGTTCATTTATGACCATTGGTAGTCATACATGGTATGCCTGTGCAAATCATTTGATAAGGGTCCCTTTCCATCATACCCCATTCCCCTGGCAAGGATTTGCTCCTTGACGTGCCATATATCCTGTATATGCATGAAAGATCACAGGAGAGCCTTAAAACAGCTCAACTGAGACTCTTCTGCTTTGCTTTGCAGCTTTGAAAGGTGTATGCAGAGGCAAAATCTCACAGAATAATTTGCATAGGCCTACTGCAAAGCAGTAAACTGAAATGTCAGCCCTTGAGTGAATGTCAGAATATTTTGGGAGAAGATGCGAGCTGTCCCGTAATACAGTGTCTTTAGTAGTTTTGCCTACTAAAAGTCTAAAACATTTCTTTTAGTAGATTTTACTAAATAATGTCTGCTGGTCCTTTTAAAACTTCTGTGCAGGTCTAAAAGTGTGACAAGTTCCAGCAGTAGCAGCAGCATCACTTCAGCTAGTGAGTCTTCATCAGAGAGTGATGACTCCTCCTCCTCTTCATCAGATGACAGTGATAGTGATGAAAGCACTTCCAGTTCTTCATCTTCTCCATCATCAAGTAGTTCTTCTAGTTCTTCTGACTTTGAAACAGAGTCAAGTTCTTCCAGCAGCAGCAGCAGTAGCAGCAGCACAGATAGCAGTACAGATGATGAGCCACCAAAGAAAAAGAAGAAGAACAATTTAGTGCGATGCTAGGACTACGGTGGCATTAAACAATAACTTGCATCTAAAATGCATAATGGCCAAACTAAACTAACCAGTTGTCTGTTTTTACAGTTGTAAAACTGTATGTGTTTTTACATAGTAGTTGATAGGCCATAAGCTGTTAAATGGCAAGTAATACTTACTGAAAGAGTATTTTTGTGGATTACTGTTTAATAGGGAATGCTACCTTTTTTCTTAATTTTTAAAGAAATCTAATATTTATATGAATTAAGGTCCAGTCATCCTGATGTTTACATGCCAGAAAGCAAAACACATTTCTCTGAATCATCCTGTGTTATGTCATAGAGCAGCCTTGTGTTTACATCAGTTTTATATTCTAAGTAAGATGGAAGGAGACTATGAAGTTTGATTTCAGATGGCTAATATATCCAAAGCCATATGTAATGTCCCTCCCCGGTTACAGAGGGAGTGGCATTGTGTTTTGTAGGGGAAAAAAAGCCTGTTAGGTAAAATCAAAAAATAGTTCAATATTCTAGTCAAATAATTGTTCAGTATCAAATTTCTGTTAATACGATTGTTTTGTGATCAGTATCCTATATATGGATCTTATTTCCATCTCAGTCCAGTGAGGTTGTTCAGCCTATTGAAACAAGACTCTCTATCTCGATTGCCCTTCTGGACTTGGTCTGCATATGCAAAATGATGGTGGGTAGAGATCTTCACATAGTACTGAAGAGTATGCATCTTACTAGAATTTAACTCTCTCCCTCTAAAGCCTTGTAACAAGCCCTCCTGCAACATTGGGTTTTGATTGATTGCCACACACAACTTCCTTTTGCCCTTTTGCTAGCATAATTGCTGGCTAGTTCCTTGCACTTACACTGCACACAAACTTGTGGAAGAGGATATGACAACTGGGGGAAGAGAAAGGTAAGATCTATTCCCTCATTCACTCTTCCAGGCAAAGAAAAATTCATTATGAACTCCAATAATTGCTGGATTTTGTTGTTGTTTTTCCAATAGAAATAGATACTAATACCATAAGCAAGAGATAGCCAAAAGGAATAAAAGAAAATAGTTTGTACTATAATTTCAAAATTAAAAATTATGGGATTTTGTCTATACTATTATTCCTAGTTTAGAGGGGGTCAGAGAAAGAGTTTGGGATACATCTTGACTCCTACTTCTAGTTTTATACCTTACTTTCATATTTTCCTTCCTTTTGGAGAAAGGCACGTGTTTAAATTGATTCTCATGTAAAGCATTAACTTGGCAACTGGTCACTGGGTAAACATTTCAGCCCAGAAATCCTTAGACTTCATACTATGTTTACATTTGGCAAAAATCTAAAACATTGCCAGCTAACCATTGAGTTAGCAGTGTTTCTATTCCTTTAAGCCTCTATTTTTACCTTCTGCCATTTATTGTCTCCACCCCCCTCCAAATTTTTTGAGCTATTATGGTTGTAGTTTAGTGGGTACTTTAAAAGTCATTGGCAATTAGATACTTTTCCAGATCACTTTAAGTTGCCTCTTTAAATGCCAAATTCTTGTTTATGTTTACATATAATTTCAGAATAAATTCTTAAGTTATATTGCAGATTTAAAAAAAGAGCATACTTCTGTTTATTATAGATGGGAAGAGAACACAACTGACATTGAAAAGCAGAGAAAAGAAATATTCAAAAAGTGGCATTTGATTCTTTTCTAAAATAGAAAGTGATAATATTTAACTCAAAAATCAATTAACATCCTGGGTCCCCCCTTGCAAAAATCATTTAAGTCAGAGGTGAAGAATTTATTTCACTCCAAGGTTACACTGATTTCAGGAACCATACAATATCAGTGGATGATGCCACAACCAGAAGATGATGGGGCCACTTCACTTCAAGTACGCAGCCTTCAAATTCCTTTCCTGGAGACAGACCAACACACCCCCTCCCCCCCCCATAGTAATTAGGCTTTAAAGCTGCCTTTGCTGAAATCAGTATGAGCTGTTTTTAAATTGTGCAAGTTTTGGAGAAGTCTTATTTCTGACCAGTGCTTGACATAGGTGGACTTGTTTTCTCTGCCAGTTCTGGAAGGAGGAAGGGCTTGGATAGAACCTGAAGGCCACGTGGGACACCCTCAACTTGCTGAATATGGCTTGTTGAATAGAGGTTCCCCGTGTTCAAATTTAAGCACAGGATGATTAACAAATTGCTCCCTAAATCAGAGGGAAATCTTGAGGGAGCAGCCTGCTGTATGACAACATATAGCAGCAACAGTACTGATTTTATTTTTTTAAATGACAACTTGTTTCTGCCTTTTTGTCATTCTTTGAATAGTGGCTTGACATTTCTTGTAGCAGCCAATTTTTCCCCTCATCCAAGTCTCAGTGGTGTAGTGTACCCATTGGCTTCACCTTGTCTAAAGGGCTAGGATACTCCTTTTTCCATGGTTTGGACCAGAAGCGTGATCCTCTGTCCACTGAAAGAGAAACAGCACTATCCAGAACTAACAAAGGCCACCTTCAGTTTTGTAATGATTCTTGCAGGCAGCTACGTACATGTCTCTCTCCACTACCAGAATCTTTGGACCAAGGCCAAATGCTTTGATCTTTTTAATAAGACCTGTTTGAGCTTAAAGACTTCCCTTTAAGCTGTTTTTGCACTGTGCGTGGAGAGTAGTGTTCAGTGTTGCAACTGAAATGTTTCATCTTTGTGCCTTTTCATAATATTAAATATGCCCCGAAAGCATTATAAAATGGAAGAGTTTGAGGTGTTTGCTTTGTTGTCTGCACACTATTTTGGGCACCTAGAAAAAATGTTATACAAATGCTTTCAATGAGAAAAATATTTATTTTCAGTGGAGCTGGATAAAAGAAGATATCTTTAAATATTTCCCCTTGTGATATTTTTGCATAAATATTCTTAGCCTATAACATGCATTTGATTATTCTGGTCATATTCTAATTTACAGTCACTTATTTAAAAATAAAATGTTTATTTTTTGCATAGCACAAGTTATATAATTAAATGAATTTGAATGGAGGATACATATTAGGCAAGATTGCAGTCCATTTCTTGTAGGTTACAGAAAAAAAATAACATTGTGATGAGTTCTAGCAATTGGCAGTAGTCAATTAGTGATACAGTCTCTTTTTAGTTTCTTTTTTGATGGGTCTTTTTATGAGGAATATGTGGGAGGGGACATCTTAAATATCCTAGTTTAGTTAAAGTATGAATTAACAGTTGAACTATTTTTTTATATTTTTATGAAAATGTAGTGTGTAGAATGACTTTTGAATACAAATGTTCTATTTAAATGTTTATGTAAGTTGTGCATTTCAGTCTGTAACCATTTCTATGTTTTGCAAAATTCAGACACTATAATTCTAAAACTACCAGAAAATTATTTGAATCATGCTATAGAATGTATAATTTAAGAAATTAATAAATTATTAAATGCAAATTAAGGATTTAAACTTTTATTTTCACAGATTGTAAATTTCGTATGAATACTGTAGATTATTTTCATGATTAATATTAACTACCATAAAGGATAATGGAAGAACTATCTAGATGATGGCAGAGACTGTTCAGCTTTACTTAGAAGATTGTTGCCTGCTAATTAAGCAGAATGGGAAGAACAAATAATGCAGAGATTTAAAGCCACACACACAAAAAAAGGCAGTAAAAGTGCTAATGACTCTGCATCAACAAATATGGAACAAAACTGTATTGCCTAGATATTGGAAAACATGGGTGTGTAATATCTATGCAAAGAAGAGAGATACAGGAGAATGCAAATTACCACACTATTGCACAAATTACAATTGCAAATGAAGTTTTGCTTTAGAACTTGCACAGAAGAATAAAGTCATACATGGAGAGGAAAATGCCAGATGGGCAGACAAGTTTCAGAAAAGGCAGAGGACTCTATCAGGTAGCTAACAAAAAATAGGTAACAGAGCAAACACACACACACACACAAGAATGAGGTTTATTTTTGCTTGATCAGATACAGCAAAGGATTTGAGTATGTAGATCATGCCAGAATGTGGAGTATAGTAAGGATAACAAGCGTGCCAGAATATCTGATTATTATTCTGAAGAATCTTTACATTGGCCTTTAAATTGAGGCCAAGTCCACAGTGAGATGGGCAGTGACAACTTTGAAATATAAATAAATAAAAATAAATGGTATTCTAAGAATTGACCTTGGAAAAACAGAATGATTCAGAATAGGACAGAGAATGAGACAAGGATGTACATTATATGATTCCCAATTCTGTTTAACTTCTCTCTCTCTCTCTGTTATAAGAATGGCAAAGTTGGAAGAGATGAAAAGTCAAAAATAGGAAGCTAAAACACTAACAATTTGAGATACACAGATATCACCATTTTGTTAACTGAAAATAGAGAAGACTTAGAAGGGCTCATTACAGCAGCATCTATGGGGGGGGGGGAAGAGAGGGGAGTGATGAAAGATGCAAGCCCTACCCATTTTCCATGCGTGTTGTGATACCATATATATGCCCAAGAGGAGTGGATCTTGCAGTTACATTGCTTTTGTCACTCTTGACAAAAGTAGCAAGATCCTGCAACACTCTTGCCTGATTATGAAAATAAACATTGATTAATGTTAAACAGTGACACAACAAACACAATGTCACCCTGCATGCCTAGTAAATGTACCATTGTTGGCAAAGAAATGAAGGTATTAACTAGTTTTCTCAGTTGAAGAATAAAGATGGATAGTGTGCTGGAAATAAAAAGGTGTCTGATTCTAAGGAAAAAAAACACTGATAGAGAAGATTGTGAAAAATACAAATATTTATCTGATAACAAAGATCAGAGTAATTAAAGCAAAGGTTTCTCCAGAGGTAATATATGATAGGTAGATGAGAGATGGATGGATGGATGGATGGCTTTCAAGAAGGTTATGAAAATTATCATGGACTATAGAAAGAGCCAATCAACTAATCCTGGACAAAATGAAGCCTGGCTGTTCCCTTCAAGTGATGACGAATAAGCAGAAACTCATGTGATTTGGGCACATGATGTGAGTAGATGATGAACTAAAAAAAACAAAAAAAATACAGTTGGCAAGGTTCAGGGGAATAGAAGAGAAAGACAAATAAATAAATAGGTAGTGTCTGCCTATTTAACTTACAATAGTTCTATGGCTAGTAACTTGGAAACTATGCCATTGCCTGGGTTCACACTGGCACAGTACAGCGTGAGTTTATACTAATTTTGTGAGTTTGCTGATGAACAATGCCCCATTTGCTGATATAATAGCATTATATTAGCATTTACAATGTGTATCATATAGCTCCACCTTCACCCCCCAAAACATTCAGAACATTCAGATTTAGATATTTTTCAAGTAAGGGCATTAAGAAGGATGCAGAACATCTGGACTGGATGCCAACTGTATTTAGAATTATTCTGGCTCTTGAAAATTGAGGCCAAGTCATTAAGGACTCATTGATAATTATCTGATGTGCATCTCTTACAGCCTTTTATGGCTTTTCAACCTGAGAGTGCAAAACTATTATGCAATCAGTTTAAATAATTAATTACAGGACAGGACAAAGAGCGAGCTAAGACATCACAGAAAGAAATGAGGGCAATGCTTAAGCTGAAATACTGTTCAAGGCCAGTTTATATCTTAATCCAGACTTGAGCATTTAAAACTAGCACTGGTATGTACAAGAGCTGACACCATGCAGTATCCAATTAACCCTGTGTCAGGTTTTTTAGCCAAAGGTAGAGCATACACTGTGAATCAAAAGGAAATTGCTGTCCTCTTTATTTTGTATGTCATATGCATACTACTGTCTTATAATTAAACCATATCAAGGGATTTTCAGAGAAACATAGAATGAAATGGTTGAAAAGACCTTGGAGATAATCTAGTCCAATCTCCAGTCGAATGCAAGAGTCTATTATTATAGCATCCCTATAAACACCTCCAATGAGAAAGAGCCTACCACTTCTTGAAGCAATTTGTTCCAGCTTGTGCTGTTAGGAAACTTTTCCTGATATTCAAAAGAAAATTTCCTGATATTCTTTTAATTTAAACACATTGTTTCTTGTCCTGTCCCCTGGATCAACTCTGAACAATTCTGCCCTGTCTTCCATAAGACACCACATCAGCTACATGAAGATACCACCTATTTCCCCACCAGTTTTTCCCAGGTTAAACATATTCAATGCTTCCAACCATTCCTGAACAGTTTTTCATTATTCCACATCACCTTGATTGCTCTCCTCTGAACATGTTCCAGTCCAGAGTCAATGTCTTTCCTAAACTATGTTCAGACATGCAGGATTCTAGGTGTACTGAGGTCTGACTCACCCAAAAGAAGGAACAATTATTTAACACTACTTCTGTTGCTGAAGCCTAGGATTACATTTGCTTTCTCTGCAGTTACGGCACCAGAGTTGGCTCATGTTCACTTTGTGATCCATGGCAAGCTCAGACTCAGACAAGGAGATCAACAATGAACAGCCTGCTCCAGACTTACTGGATGAACCAGTGCCTGAGGACCTGCAGATAGTCAAGGCAGGACCATCTGGTCATCCACAGGAGCAGCTGCTGTCAGTCCCAAAGATGAGGAGGTTGAGCTCCTGTCTCCATCTAGCACAAGAGCTCCTGTGTGGAGAAGAGAGCAGAGCAAAGGTACTCTGCAAGGCTCCTTGCAAGAAAGGAGTAATCTCCTTCCATAAGGAGCAACACTGACCCTGGTTCTACTTAAGTAGAGCAGCAAACCCTGCTGTTGGAAATCACTTGCTAACCCAGACTCCATATGCATTGCATCTTGACTTTTGAATCCTGTGACTCTGACTTTGGGTTGTGGTCTGGCTGACAAACCTTCTGTGATACTTTGACCCTTGGACCTTAAACTTTGACTACTGTTGCCTACTGGATTGGAAATTTTAGGACTCTAGTAAGCAATCTTGCTTAGCTTCTTTCCTACTTGTGTGTGCATATGCATTTCTGCTCATGCTCTCCCTGCCGCTTGGGCACTTGTTTTAAAAGACTATCAGTAAAACTTGCAACTGTCTCTCTCATGTGTTTGGCTAATCCACTAGGATACCTAGAACCTTTTCACATATACTTCTCCCTGTATCATTTCCTCCATCCTATTCTCATGCCTTTGATTTTTCATTTCCATATGTAGGACTTCACATTTGTCCCTGTTGAACCTCATCATGCTGGTTTCAGTCCATTGGTCTAGCTTGTGAAGATCATCTTGAATCTTAATATTGCCCTATAAAGTGTGTGTTCTACCAGCTATCATTATGTTATTCACAAACACAATAGTTTCTAACCCATCATCTAGTCATTTATAATAAGTTGAATGGCACGGGTCTAAAACAGAGCCCTGCAATATATCACTTGCTATTTCCTTCCAGCTTGTTAAGGAGTCCATTCACAAGTACTTTTTAGGTATGACCACTCAACCAACTTTGCATCCATCTGATAGCAGTATAGCCACCCCACGTTTTGCCATCTTCTCTATTAGGATCTCATGGGAGCCTCTGCTGTAGTTAAATTATATTATGACCACTGTTGTCAGGTTCAGCCCAAAGAACTCCATGAGACAGTACAGATACAGTTCTGTTGCATTAATTAGCTTCCACCTCAAAGACAGGAATCTCTCCAGACTGAATCTAAACTTCCCAAGCCAGCAGGCCAAAACACCATGAATTCCC